GGGCCCAGTCGGTCAACGCATCAAGAGCATATATACCGACCGTCTCAAGCAATTCACTGCCACCGGACAGTACGAAGGCCAGAACCTCATCTCGTAAGTACATTCTCATTGTGGTCTTATTGCACACATTTCTTCATTCTTCCGATTGTTTATCTTGCGTCCGAACTATACTAAAGGTCTACTAGCAAGCTGAACGAGGCCGTCAATTCCGACGAAGACCATGTCAAGCTTTCAGTATACTCCGTCCCTGACCTCCAGCGCCCAACTTTCAAAGAGGCTACCTCCAATGAATTTAAACCTACCCACATCGGAGCATCGTTCGGACCAAGCTGGTCCACTCATTGGTTCCGCATCCGCCTGACGGTCCCGGAGGATATGCGCAAAAAGGAACGTCTGGAGTTCCACTGGGATGCAAACAACGAGGGTCTAGTGTGGTCAGAAGATGGTCGGCCCCTTCAAGGTCTCACTGGTGGCAACGAGCGTATCGAGTGGATCATCCCCGATGCCTGGCGGGACGGGAAGGAACATACCTTCTACATCGAGATGGCCTGCAATGGCATGTTTGGAAATGCGCCTGGGGGTGATTCCATCCAGCCGCCCAACCCTAACAAATACTATACATTGCACAAAGCTCAAATTACGGCCGTCAACCTAGAGGCACGGGCATTGTTCTACGACTTCTGGATTATTGGAGGTATGTTCGGACCAGTGAATTTAAGCAGCTTGTGCCGCTATTGGCTGCTAGGCGATAGAGTATCCCGTCGATGATTACTGACTTGGTACACTAGACGCGGCCAGGGAATTCCCTGGTGATGGCTGGGAGTCGCATGAGGCCAATATGGTCGGGAATGCTATCATTGATGCGTTCATTGCTGGGGAAGGCAGCAATGAATCAATCAGGGAGGCACGCAAAATAGCCCAGAAGTACCTGGGTAGTAAAGTAGATTCTTCCCGAGTGTACGAGACCGACACGGAACCCATCGTCTACGCTATTGGACATTGCCATATCGATACTTGCTGGTTGTGGCCTTGGGCAGAGACTAAGCGTAAGGTTGCCCGGTCATGGTCGAACCAGTGTGATCTGATGGACAGATATCCGGAGCATCGCTTCGCTTGCTCCCAGGCACAACAGTTCAAGTGGTTGAAGCAATACTATCCATCGGTTTTTGAGCGCGTCAAACAGTGGGTCAAGAAAGGTCACTTCCAACCTATCGGCGGCAGCTGGGTCGAGCATGACACCAACATGCCCAGCGGAGAGTCGCTGGTGAGGCAATTTCTCTATGGCCAACGCTTCTTTGAGAGAAACTTCGGTGAACGCTGTACAACTTTCTGGCTTCCGGATACCTTTGGCTACTCTACGCAGATACCTCAGATCTGTCGTTTGGCAGGCATGAGTCGCTTCCTCACCCAAAAGCTCAGTTGGAACAATATCAATAACTTTCCGCACACCACATTCCTTTGGGTTGCACTTGATGGGAGCCAGGTTATCTGCCACATGCCACCAGCGGAGACATACACTGCGAGCGCTCACTTTGGTGACGTGAAGCGTAGCGTGACTCAACACAAGTCAATGGACAACGACAACACGTCACTCTTAGTATTCGGCAAGGGCGATGGTGGTGGCGGTCCAACCTTTGAACATCTGGAGAAGCTGCGCCGCTGCCGCGGTCTCAGTGACAAGGTTGGCTTGCTTCCTCGTGTCAAGATGGGAAATTCGGTCGATGATTTCTTCGCAAAGCTCGAGAAGAAGGTAGAACAAGGTACCCGCTTCGCCACGTGGTATGGTGAATTATATTTCGAACTACATCGGGGTACATATACCACGCAGGCCAACAACAAACGGGGAAACCGCAAGTCAGAGTTCTTGCTCAGGGAGATTGAATACCTTGCTACTCTCGCCACTCTTGAGCAGTCTGCCGACAAGTATAAGTACCCCAAGGAGGAAATTGACGAGATGTGGGAAGATGTACTTCTGTGCCAATTTCATGATTGCCTTCCCGGTAGCAGCATCGAGATGTGCTACGACGACTCCAGAGAGCTATACAAGAAGGTTTTCGAAATTGGCAACAAGGTTCGGAAGGAAGCCCTTCAAGCTCTTGGACTTGGCAGCAGCACCGCTAAGGGTCTTGTCGCAATCAACACATTGCCCTGGCCTCGCTCAGAAGTAGTCAAGGTCCCTGCTGATTTTACAGCTGCGGGTGGCCCTAGGTACGCCATTGTCAGTGGTGAAAGTGGTCCTATCAAGTGCCAGATTCCTACAGCTTCGAGCAGGGCGCCTGCTGTGACTGTTTCCGAGATCGAGCCCGGTGTTTTCCGTTTACAGAATGAAAAACTGAGGGTAGATGTGCACGACGGAGTCATCACATCGTTGTACGATCTGGAGGAAAAGCGGGAAATCGTTGCCAAGGGCGGAAAGGCTAACCAGCTTGTCATTTTTGATGATAAACCACTCTACTGGCAAGCGTGGGACGTTGAGGTCTTCCACCTCGAATCGAGGAAGGAGTTGCAATCCGGGAAGACTACTGTCGCTGAAAACGATCCATATCGTGTCAGCGTGGTCACTGAGACCCGCATAAGCGATAAGAGCTGGGTCAAGACGACTATCAGCCTGGCTGCTGCCGTTGGAGACCAGCCATCCTATGTTGAGATGGAAAGTGAAGTTGAATGGCGGGAGACTATGAAGTTCCTCAAGGTCGAATTCCCTGTCGACATCACGAACACACAGGCATCGTATGAGACTCAGTACGGAATCATCAATCGTCCTACTCATTACAACACCAGGTATTTCTACCCTTCTTTCCACATAAGCAGGTGCTAATAGGCTACAGCTGGGACATGGCCAAGTTTGAAGTGTGCTGCCACAAGTGGGCAGATCTGTCTGAGCACGGCTACGGTGTCTCGATCCTCAATGATTCCAAGTATGGGTTTGCAACTTGCGGTAACATGATGCGCCTCTCCCTGCTTCGTGCCCCGAAGGCACCAGATGCTCATGCAGATATGGGCCATCATCGTATCCGTTACGCGATTCTCCCGCACGCAGGACCCCTGGACCATCGCACGATCCGCGCAGGGTACAGCTTTAACCATCCCCTTGCCTTGGAGCCCGTATCTGGTCAGGAGGCAAGCGATGCGTTCAAGTCGATCCTGCTGGACGGTTCCCCTTCACTCGTGTTGGACACAGTGAAGCGCGGTGAAGACGATGAAGACGTGTCTCGTGACGAACTACCAAGGCGTGCCGGGAAGAGTGTCATCCTTCGCATCTACGAGTCCCTAGGTGGTAAGAGCCGTGGCACCATCAATACCAAGCTTCCTGTCAAGAAGGCATGGAAGTGCAATATCCTTGAGGATGACGAGACGAGCCTGGTCTTGTCCAAGAGTGCTTCACAGACCACGAGCATTGATATCGAGCTGAGAGCCTTCGAGGTTGCGACATACAGACTGCAGCTGTAGTCAGTCCCATTGCTGTGAAAGGAAAAATTGTCTGTAGTTCGTAACACCAAGTGACATATCTTTCGAGATGTATAGTCTAGCAGAGCAATGCCGATGCAATCTAGTAGTACAGAGGATATCACAGACAAATAGCGAAACTAGTAAACACAGCGAACTCTTCGAACAAATATAATCAGTAGTTTCCCGCGCGCCACAGCTCCCTATCCAACCCAGCAAAGAACCTACCAACTCCAACGAACTCTCATGAAATCAAACGAAATAATAAACTGATATATCAATCCCTCCCATAAGTAATCTTCAACCTCTTCGTAGACGGCCTATCCCCATCTGTCCCATCATCATCCCCCTTATCCTTATTACTCGCCGCAGACTTCTTCTTATTCTTCGACGCCTGCCCCCCCTTCACACTATTCGCCGCGGACGACGCATCCCCGTTCCCAGGCTTTCCAGTAGAACCATTATGCGTTGAGTTCGGAGTCGCGGCATGCGACGGCGTCGTTTGAGCCGATGAAGGCGCGGGTGAATCCTAAACACAAACACAGAGAACCCGTCAGCTTACGCACATCCACACAACCAAACAACACAGGGGGCGGAAATAGAGAGAAAGGAATGGAAGGTAGACATACCCGCATAAAACTCGCCGAACTCCTCGAAAACACACGATCCGCGTCCGACACCGTTGCCTTTCGTCTCGCAGCACCTCCACCACCACTCATACTCGATGAGAGGGCAATGCCTGCTCCGCCGATCCCGGCCCCGCTGGACGATCCCTTGATGTAGTTGTCGAAACCCTTGATGATGTTTCCGGCGGTGGTTTCTTCGAGGTAGGATTGTTCGAAGCGGTAGATTTGGTCTTCAAGTTGGGCCTGTCGTTTATTTGTGTTGGTTCGTGACACGGGGGAAATTAAAGGGGGGGAATGGGGGGAGTCCGTACCATGCTCTTATCCATTAGACGCTTCTTTTGGAGTGTGTCGCGCAGTTCGCGGCGGAGTTTCTCGTAGTAGGGGAGGCCGCGGTTTGCGGTTGATGAAGCGGAGGAGTCGTTGGATTGGTTGGGGTTGTTGGGGTTGGAGGTGGAGTTTGATGTTGTGTGGTTGTTGGAGTTGAGATTGGAGTTGGCATTGTTGTTGTTGTTGTTTGGTGTGGAATTGGGTGCTGTGGAGTTGGTGTTTGTGGTGGAAGTTGGGCCTGTTGTGCTGGTTGGTGGTGCTGGTGCTGGGGCGCTTGATGCGGCCGGTGTTGCAGCAGCGGCGGCGGCGGGCTCGGTCATTGTGGTGGTGGGCGACGTGATTGTAGTCGTGGGAAAGCGTCAATTATGAGGAGATTGAGATGGGGAGTTGGTTGGCTTAGATGCGAGCGCGCATTGAAACGAGTGTACTGGTGGAGGTGGTGTCGCGATCTCTAGCATCTAGAAGCGGAAGAGAAGTGGAAGTGACTGAATGGATGATGATCGCCGCCAGATCTTATCGTTGCTGTTTGGCTGGTTTGCATCCGCGTCACATTATCGCTCCGTCAACTTACGTACACTAGGGAGCTGCATCTCCCCATCTCCCTTGCTCTCTTTCCCTCTCTGTCTTACCGGTGTGGCTTGCTGGCTTCTTTATCTGAGAGAGGCTTGTGATATTTGCTACGCTGAAGCTCGCTGTACATACTGTACCTGACTTCATCATCAACGACTATTCTATTTGTTGAACTTGCTACGGCCTGACTTCGAGATGGATCACTCAATGCATGGCATGATGGACATGGACCATGGTCATGATCATGGTGATATGGATATGGGTGATGGACAGTGCAATATGAATGTGAGTGTCTTGTTGCTTCTATAGTGGTGCGAGCGCAAGCGGTGCTCGGAAGTGGAGCTCACCATTGCTTGCTACAACGTACTGTCCTCCTAGCTCGACCGGCTAACGATGCTTGCTAGATGCTGTTCACCTGGTCTACGAAGAACCTCTGCATCGTCTTTCCCCAATGGCGCATTACCAGCACCTGGTCCCTTCTGGGTTCACTTATTGTCATCGTCCTTTTGACGGCCGGCTATGAGGGGATTCGACAGCTTACACGGCGGTTCGAAGCAGCTCACGCCAGGAGGCTGAGTGCATATACTACGGTTGCTGTTGGAGGTACGTACATCTCAGTTCCTATTATGATTCCTGTATAATGCATGGCGGGGATATTGGAGTCATGGTTTCTTCCTCATCTTCGAGCGCTGGTTATTGGTTTGGCCCAACCTTTGCTGGGATGAAGCACCTGACACCGTGAAGGCAGCGAGGCCCACGACGATTCTGCCACGGCCAATGTCCCTTCTAGCCAGACGCTGCCTGCCCCGAACACCGGCTCACCCCTAGTTGTAGGCAGGGATAGCCGAAGGACCGTCGAGCAAAGAGGCAAGATCACCATGGCAGCTTTGTATGCTGTGCAGGTATTCTATAGCTTTTTCATCATGTAAGTCTTCTAACCCCTCCTATTCACTTCCTGTTCGACTTGGACGAGTTCTAACTGTTCAGGCTGCTCTTCATGACGTACAATGGATTCGTCATGCTCGCAGTTGCCGTTGGTGCCTTTGTGGGATATTTGGCGTTTGGGGACAACACCTCTGCCAGCAAATCGGTTGCTTGTCATTAATGGACTGTAAGCACGAAGGCTTGCCTGAAGTTTGGCGGGAACCGGGCATATTTTAAGCAGTAGCCTCGTTAGGCAGCGTCTTGTCGTTTGGAAACAGCATCAGTTGCATACTCGTCTAATGAACATTCATGCGTTCACTTGCAAGCAGCGGAGACTGCAATTAGGGGACTTCAACATCGCTGTCATCTCCAAACCCGAAGCTAAACCCGCCTCCTTCGGCGGCATCACCTCCGTCTTGCTCTGCATTTCCGTGCACAATTTCGTCCCACTTCCGTTTCTTCCCCTCGTTCTTCTTCTGCAGCTCTGCCTGCGCCTGTTCCAATAGCTCAGGATGCGATTTCTGCATCTGCGCCACAAACCGTTCGTAGGGATTGTTAACGTCCTTTCTGAAACCTGAAACCTGGTCTGCCTTGTTAGACAAGAAGTCCAGCGCGGCGCTCAGGTGGGCACGGGGTATGAAGTTCTGAGTAATGGCAATAGCTGGCTCAATGTTGACGACCAAGTGCCACCAGCCCGAAGGAACGTGGAGAATCTCGCCCTCGTGACAAATCCCCTCGATGCAGCCTGGGCTACGTCGTGCCTCGGCGTGAAAACCGAAAAGCCACTCGGCAATACTAAGAGGGGAAGTCACTTCACTCTGGTCGTCTGACACATAGACGCCCGGAGGCGGCGGGAGCTTCGAAGACGATGGGAACATGATCCAGTATTTTGAACCACGAACAACTGCATTCCAGGCGCTGGTAGCGTTCGGGTCCTTGTGGAAGGTACTTCCAGACCGCTCGGGTCCAATGATCAGCCATTGCCTGTCAGGGCGATCGTTCCCCAGCACGGAGAAAAAGTCCTCTCCAAAGCAACTGGGAGGCCAGTAAGTGGCGTCAGGCTCCTGGTCCGGCTGACCGACTTTGAGGCCCATTTTTGATACAAATGCCCGGTCGAACAGATAGAGGGGACTCTCATCGGAGTTGTTGTGCATGTAATCAACATATGTATGGAAAGGCCAGTCCACTGCCTCTGCGCGGAAAATAGCCTCGCCGTAGTGATCCAAAAGCATGTTTACGGACCAGTTCTTGTAGGCTGGCCATTGTTTCACAGGCTCAGTCAAGATGAAGGGCGTGTTGCTCCATTTTTCATTGAACTCCTCAAAAGAGAGATCGGGGAGACGAGCAATTTGGTTGCGGGCAGGGATATTCTTAATATAAGGATCTAAAGAAATATGGGCGCAGTGGAAGGGCCGGTGCAGGACATCCGAGAATAGATTCGAGCAGTCTAGGATGCACTCTTCCGACGGAGGAATGTTAAGATAAGTTGAGCGCCATGTTCCTTTCCATGAGAACGAGGCGGGAGGAGAACTGACTAAAGCGTTAGTGCAATGCTCCAGGCCGTCTAGCTATAATTCTACAAACGCGATGAGACAGTAGACTGCCACGTCCCCGGAACCAACAAGAATAAGCAGTCCCCTGGCAAGCAGATGTAGACAATAGTAATAATGTAAGAACAAAGATCTATATCTCACCCGGTGAAAAGAGCTTTCCAGAGATCCTCGGCTCTGGTGAAAGCATAAAATGCCTTGCACGTCTGTCCAATATTCAACAGACTGGGACCATCGAGGTATTCGAGCAACATCAATATCGACTCATCCGGTAGAATGTTAAAAGTGCCAATTGCATGGCGCAGGTTCTCTGCGGCGAGCAAAGCATTGCCACTAGGCTTCACGCCCAGAGGATGGCCAGGAATTTCTTCATGGCCAGACAGATCCTCAACATCGGGCTCTGGATGCGAAGAGTAGCTATGGGCAGCGACTGCACCGCCGAGAGGACGAGCACAGTCCAAGGAATTGATATCCGGCATTTTCATGATTATTATTTGAAGAGAAAGAAAGAGACGGGCATTGAATTGTAGGAACTTTCCCAATTGGGTGGGGAACGACTAGACCGGTCACAGACCGGGCGGCGGTGGTGGTACAGACTAGTAATAAACAGCCCACACAACCAACGGCCAGGGCTGTCAGGCAGGGAAGATACGGGGGGTCTTATGCCCAACCCACCCATAAACAACACTCCTGTGGACTTCCTAAGCGGCAATACTATGGCCCTACGCAGTAAAAGACTTGCCTCCTGGGCATCGAAAATATTACCAAAGATTTCCCTCCGTAGTCCAGCCAGCGAATAAGGAAATAATGACAAAATTCCCACAAGGCAAGTACGTGGGTAGGTTACCCGATTTAGTAGGCGGTGCGTATCGGCTAGGCTAAATTGGCGCTAAAAATCAAAAATTTCACCGCGACAAATGGAAAAATGGCAGACACAGGGAAAGAAAAGGGAAGAAGAGAAAAAAAAAAAAGTTCGCAGTGCTCGTCCCGCCGCTTCTGCTCCCCCCATTTTCCCACACCATCTTCGGTCATCCAACTTGAACTTCTTTTCTCTTCCCACCCCTACGACTTTTGAAGTCTTTGTGATATCTCTCATCCCCCGAGAGTTGTGCTACCAGGTTCGTTGCTCTCTTCCCAGTGTTTCTCTGCGCATTGCGCCCTCCCCCACCATCCTCGCCTATCGCTAATAAGCCTTTTTCCAGTTTTAATCCCAAAACCCCACCGTCTTCTTCGATCACAGCATCTCGCCTGTGATCTTCTTACAACAACACCGCAATCATGGCTTCTAACGACAAGGGTTTGGAGGAGATCCCCGAGGGTATGTGTTCCTACATCGCTTGCTTCATTTTTTTTCACAGCGAATTTGTGGTCTATATCTATCTACTTCGCTCGACAATGGGGCTCGTTCTCAAGCCAGCAGAAGAAAAAGATAAATCGCCACAACCCATCATCGAAATTTACTTGGGAAACAAAATAGCTGACCATAGTTTTCACGTCAATAGGACAGATCGAGACCAACTACGATGAGGTCACCGACTCCTTCGACGCCATGGACCTGAAGCCCGAGCTGCTTCGCGGTATGTGATACAAATTTTATCTTCGCCCTGGTGGGGTCTGTGCCAACATGTTCTGACGACCTCCAGGTGTCTACGCCTACGGTTTCGAGCGTCCCTCCGCTATCCAGCAGCGTGCCATCAAGCCCATCATTGCCGGTAGGTTTTCCCCGCACGGTCGCCCATAATCCATTATGCTAACTAGAGCATCCCAGGCCACGATGTCATTGCTCAGGCTCAGTCTGGTACCGGAAAGACTGCCACTTTCTCCATCTCCGCTCTCCAGAAGATCGACCCGGAGCTCAAGGCCTGCCAGGCTCTGATTGTCGCTCCCACCCGTGAGTTGGCTCAGCAGATCCAGAAGGTCGTTATCGCCATCGGTGACTTCATGAACATTGAGTGCCACGCTTGCATTGGTGGTACCAACGTCCGTGACGACATGAACACCCTCCGCAACGGCCCCCAGGTCGTTGTCGGTACCCCCGGTCGTATCCACGATATGATTGAGCGCCGTGTCCTCAAGACCGACCAGATGAAGCTCTTCATCCTCGACGAGGCTGATGAGATGCTTTCTGTAAGTCCATTTCAGATCGGCCCCGAGAAGATGTGCCTTGGCTAACAACATAATCAGCGTGGTTTCACCGAGCAAATCTACGACATCTTCCAGCTCCTCCCCCAGTCTACCCAGGTCACCCTGCTGTCCGCTACCATGCCCCAGGATGTCCTTGAGGTCACCACCAAGTTCATGCGTGACCCCATCCGTATCCTGGTCAAGAAGCAGGAGCTTACCCTCGAGGGTATCAAGCAGTTCTACATTGCTGTCGAGAAGGAGGAGTGGAAGCTCGACACCCTCTCCGATCTCTACGAGACCGTCACCATCACCCAGGCCGTCATCTTCTGTAACACCCGCCGCAAGGTCGACTGGCTCACCGACAAGCTCACTGCCCGTGACTTCACCGTCTCTGCCATGCACGGTGACATGGAGCAGGGCCAGCGTGATGTTATCATGAAGGAGTTCCGTTCCGGATCTTCCCGTGTCCTGATCGCCACTGACCTTCTGGCCCGTGGTATCGATGTCCAGCAGGTCTCCCTGGTCATCAACTACGACCTTCCCGCCAACCGTGAGAACTACATCCACCGTATCGGTCGTGGTGGTCGTTTCGGTCGTAAGGGTGTTGCCATCAACTTCGTCACCGCTGACGATGTCCGCATGATGCGTGAGATTGAGCAGTTCTACAGCACCCAGATCGAGGAGATGCCCATGAACGTTGCTGGTAAGCTAGCCTTGGCCCATACTATAATCATAGTATTGTTTATGCTGACTTGTGGTTCCAGACCTCATCTAAACTCCCTAATACCATCACCTAACGTCCCTCGATGCGGATTACGAATGCAGTTGCCAATAACGCTCCAAGGGTGAGCTGCGGTGGGAAAGACGTTTTGACATCGTTGCGCTTCTCTTGGTAAAGGAGAATCCTTCAAAAAGTGGCTTTCTGTGTCTCCAGCATTTTCTCTTTTAGCAGTGGCGAGCGGGAACCGTCTTAGTCTGCGTGTTTCTGTCTTGTTCTGTTTATGGTTTCCTTTGTCTGTTATTGCTTATGGAGATGCGACACGCTTGTGCGATTTTATTGCTGTAATTCATGGTTCTCTTCCGGAAACGCTTTTTCACACCTTTTTCCTTTGCTCTGTACCTAGCTCGCTCTCTGGTTGGTTAAGGATGCTGCGTTCATACTTGACCAAGAGGTCGGGCCAAAAATGTGATTAGTTCAATCAGGCTTTCTTTTCCTCGAGGCACTTTGGGTGGACGAAGATACGATTATGGCTCGGACTGGTTGTATACCTGTGTTCACTAGTATAGACAAGAGAGGTACATACCATTCCATTAGTTTGTTTTGAATAGTCAATCTTCAACCCTTGGTTTTGTGGAAGGCGCTCCAACTTGTAGGGACTGGACTCTACTTCGTACAGACACAGCCTAAGCATAGTATACTATGTATACCACCCTTCCATCCTCCATTCTCCACGTCCTCCACAACACATCCCATGTCCCACAACCACTCTATCCCCACGAAACTCAATCCCAACTAAATAAAGAACCCTCCAAATACCAAATGAACAACCCACGCCGACAACCAAACCCCAACGCCCCCCACCCATCCACCTTCCTCTGGGCCCACGAACTCCGACGCGAAAACATCCAACTCGTGAACCAACTCAATCGCATCAGAGCCGACCTCGCTGTTGCCAATGATACCATAGGGAATTTGAATCACAAGCTTGAACGTCTAGATCTACGAGCACGCGAGGAAAACGCTAAACTAGAGAATAGCCTGAAGGAACTTGAAGCTCGATTCGAGACTAATCTACGAACTGGTGTTGAGCGGGTTGATGAACTTGAGAATGAGAATCGTCAGCTACGGGGTAGGATTGATGGGTTGGAGAGGCGTGCTCGTGAACAAGAGGGAATGGAGGACGGTATACGCGTGAGGGTGCTGGATGAGGTGAGAGATATGATGGTGGAACGGGGAGAGAGTCGTGTGAAGGTGGAGCTGGGAATTGGAATGGGGAGAGGGGATGTTGTCAAGGCTTGTTCTGCTGGGTCTGGTGTTCTTGTGCCGGATTCAATGCCTATGGGTTCGGTTCCTGGTGTTGGTGGGAGTGGGTTGTCGTCGACGCTTTCTGATACTACTTGGGGGACGCCTTCTTTGGTGGATGAGAAGACCGAGGAAGTTGGGAGGGAGTTGGAGGGTGTCGTGAAGCAGGGTGGGAGATCGTTGGCTGATTATTTGGCTGCTGCTGAGGGGATACGATGTGGATTGCAGGCACAGAGAGATGAGGGTGAGGTTGTCAGAGCGGTTGTGCGAGGTCTTGATGACTCTGGTATCCGGGCTTTGGTCGAGGAAGAGATAAGCCACGTTGGGTGGTCTTGGAGTGCTTTGAGGGCCGTCATGCTGAAGGTTATGGAGGACAGGGAAATGCCTATACAGGAGCCAGTCAAGGAAAGCGAAACGCCCAATAATCATGACAAACTCGAGTCGATAAATGCTCCGCAGGTCCAGCGCAAAAGGCCGAGAACGAGGAGATACATACCCATTGTACCGGCTGATGAGGAGGATGAACGCATTGTTATGGAAATGTATCGCCATTGAGAGACCGAATTACTTTTTCATTCCAGATAGTCTATATTGGAAAAGAACCAGGGTATGTATATACAGCGTCTATCTGATACATATATCTTGCTCAAGACAGCCATTTAGGTCTCACTGTACCGGTATCTACCCTCACGGTCCTTGACCTCGACCTCAATGCGACCCTCCTCAAGCTCCTTACCGTCATACTCAATGGACGCCTTCATGACATCGCCAGACTTGACCTGGCCCACACCCTTAGGGGTACCAGTCAGGACAAGGTCACCCTTCTCCAGAGTCATGACACGGGAGATCTCCGCCAGAAGTCTGGGGATCCGGTAGAGCATCAGACCAGTGGAGTCGGCCTGGCGCATTTGCGATCCAACGCTCAAGCGGAGGAAAGCATTGTGAGGGTCGGGAAGACGCGACTTGGCGATCTCCTGAGAGACAGGCAGGAAGGTGTCGAAGCCCTTGGCGATGGTCCACGGGAGGCCCTTCTTCTTTGCTTCTTCTTGAACGTTGCGAGCGGTCATGTCAATACCGAGGAGGTAGCCTATATTCGCAATGATTTTACACACAGTTAGTCCATTGACGCTCATTGTCATCCGCAAAGAGAATAACAGCACAGGATCATGACTGACTGTGAATCGCATCCAAGGCACCCTTATCGTCATTCGGGTCCAGATCCCGAACGGTCTTGCCCATCACCAGCGCCAATTCGACCTCATAGTGCAGGTTGGTTCCCTGAGGGCGCAGCACAGGACCTTCGCCGGGGCAGAGGATAGCGGAAGCGGGCTTCAAAAAGAAAAAGGGCTGCTTGGGCTTGGTGTTGTTCAGCTCTGTGATGTGGTCGCTGTGGTTGACAGACTGCGTTAGCGGAACCTCGTCATGCGGGGATGTGGTAGGATAGAACATACGCATAGTTTCTGCCAATGCAGATAACTTTTCTGCAGTTGGCCCTGATCGCGGAGGCCATGATGAAGTGTTCAATTTGCGAGAATGGAGGGGAAAGAGGAACAATTGAGGGGGTGGGAATGGAATGTAGAGGCAATGAGGCCTGGCGGATAATAATATAATCGGCCAGTCGGAGCTCGGCCGATGCGACGCACGGAAAGGTGCTCCGCGCGCTGGGCGTGCGGAGAGGCTCGGATTCTCCGAGATTCGGAGGGTTGAGCCGGATGATTGGGGATGATAAGAGGGTTGTGTGGGGAAGTAAGTGGGATTGCGATAATGGCAGTTATTCCAAAATGTAATGTGATTTTAAGGAATATGTGCAGACAGTTGTTTGTCTGGAAGTGTGAGTAGAGATTGTGATGAGCTGAGAATGTTTTGTTATTCTCGTCGTTCCTTACGTCACCCGCTCAATTCCTGAAGGGTGTTTTATCACTGCATGCTAGCTACATTCTATACGCTGCGTCTGTACATAATCATCTGAATCAATCCTGAAGAGCAGAGCATATTGTCAACCTCGTCTATCGTATTTGTTGCAGTATTCCATTCATTTCCCTAGTGATCCAAACCAAAATCGCCATGCAAGTAGCAGAGATCCTCTCCGATCTGACATCCCTACGCGTCTGTGTATGTGCCCTTGCTATTGAACCCCAATCAATCACTGGGCCTATTTGTATACTACGGACCAATATAAGCAGTCTTCTATGAATAATGCCTTCTTGATACCTCTTATCAAAGAACCAACTCAACTGATGATCAACTACAGGACCACCATGACGCCCTCGCTCTCGTTACCGTCAATGAGCGAATCCCCCAACCCACAGACCAACTAGAGCTTAAAGCAACAGACACTACCCCATCAGGCTCTGAAGTGAATCCAGGCAGATACGGAAATGATGATCTCCGTCGCGCAAAAGAACTCGTCGACTTGCACTACGAATTCAAAGCCCGTCATGCGCTAGGCACGGTTGATGAGGAGCTCTCGCGTGCAAGGGAGGAAGTAGCCCGAGTCCTGAGGGAACTTAGCTAATTAGGGAGAAGTACTACCTTAGGTTCTGGGCGGGTTGTGAATCCTCTTTTTTTCTCTCTCATGTATAAGGATGTTTCTATTCGGGCTGGCGTTATCAGTGATTTGCTATATGATGTTGTTACAAGGGAACTTAAATATGCATGATTGACTTTCCGAAGGTGCTATGACTTCTTAGAAAGCTACGCCTGGTAGGAAGCCTTATTGATTTAATATTGGGTAGGGCCACAACTTATGTAAAATTCCATCTCCGTCTGAGGAATTAAGGGAGGCTTGGTTTCTAGCCTGCAGAGAATTCACTTAAAGATGGCTACGGTACTTGCTTCTAGAAGAAAGAGTTGGAATTCAATGTCCTTCTCTATTCTGTATACTATACATGACCTATCTAGACTGTTGATCTTGCCGCACGTTTTCTTCGTCGGGTGATCAGCATCACTGGTTCATCAGGAGATTGTCTACTACTGGCCTGATATTCACGCCCAACAGATAGTTCAGTACCAGTCAGATCTCTAGAATGCAACACCCTTCACGCAGTTTGTCAGCAAGCTTGTTTACTCATTCCGCTCATGGATCACATACATTCGGAAGGCCCGGACCAAAAGGACCTTCAAAGTCTTTCGCAGTAGCCTCCTGGGCATCTTGGTTGTTACGCCTAGTGTTTGGCTTTCTGGGCCGACCCTTTCACAGATTTAGCGTCAGCAAGCTCATCAACCACAATTGACAAGGGGTCTCATACACCTAGAATACCTCCTATCCCACCAGGGCCCTTCTACGAATCTATTGTCAGCAAGCTAATTATCATACTTGATGAGTGATCTCATACAGCTATGATGCCCTTCAGAGGTGGGAAATATTCTGCAGGAGTCTCCTGGGCATCCTGACTAGCCCGCTTGTATGACCCATCTGAGGTTGGATCGAAGTCATCAGGATCCTGCCGAGCAACCTGGTTGCCACGCTTGGCAGACGACTGGATACTAGTTAGATCTCCACGTCGACCGAGGCCCTTTCACAGATCTATGATTAGCTGACCGGCCATCATTCTTAGAAAAAGGATATCATACAAGGGTATCATCAAGCAGACCAACAGGATTGGCACCTATACCTTCTTGTTGAGTCGCGGCAGTGGTGGACTCCTGACTCGAGAAATCCTGTCAAGCACCGCATTAGCGAGTTGTCTGAACCCATACATGAGTAGCAGACAAAAGGCTACTACTATATAGAATATGTTCACATTCTGTTACTTACAGTCGGCAGGGCCAGGGTCGCGGAGACCAGTAACAGAGTAGTAAAGATATACTTCATCTTGGATGATAGGAGTAAATACAGATTAGATACCAGGACAAGTAGACTAAGACTCAAAGAACAAGAAGGTTAAGTTGACTGTGTTGACTAAGTCAGTTTGTATCTGTTGCACTGAATGAGGAAAGACTCCAGGCCGGCTTTTATACATGAGCTGACCAAATGGCGAGACCCATGACTTCAGATTTCTAATCCCGAAACTTTCACCGAAGTGCCTATAACTCCTCATCGCTGAAAGGGCCTCGTGTTACTGTTGATCATCATGCAGCCTTGGACGAGCAATTCAGGTGATCTGTAGGTACTGGGGATCAGTCCGTATCAGATGTCTGAAGAGGGGAACAGAGCGATGATCGACAATAGTAAGACTATGCATGTCGTCACAGTGGCACAGAATCAAACTAAAGCTACGCCCAGTTCTTTTTACTGGCCCTTTCCAGGATGATATGACGAACAAATGGGATGAACACCCCTCTTGAGGGGATGCAGCCAGTTAGAAGGAAGTCGGCTTGTTGGAGCAGCGAGCAACTAGTGAATGAGAAGTCTTTCTTGTCCACTCATTGGGCTTCTCTGAATGCAGCATCGCAATAGTGTAGTAATGTTTACTTCTTCTCGGATAACCTATTCGCCGCCGCTCGACACTTTTACCCACCTACCAATAAGGATTCCTCCAAGACCCGGACAATAACCCTGTTTTCAAGTCTTGTCTACGGTATTCGCGCAGAAGAAGCTCTACACAATAAATTTGTTTGCTCACTCAAGCAGACCGAAAGGGTATATACTCTTAGCTTACAGGTGTGGGAAGATAGGGTATGATATGTGTGGGTTACACTGCATTATGTAGCGTGTACTCCAAGCATCTCGGATGTCCCTTGATACTACTACCCAGGTCTTGTTCGATTTATTATCAGAAGTCAAGAGCTTGGTAAGGGGAAGAGGCGCAGGCACCAGGCGATTAAATTTTGACTCTTAAGTTGACAGGTGAAAAGGCAAATGGAGAAGAAAAGAACTAGATTTGTGTACTGAACTATATTATCTACTATGTACTATCAATGTTTCTCTTTAATCTGTCCATTTATCGATTGATTGTATATCACACCAGCTTACACCTGACTATTGTAAATTAGAAATATGGATTATCATTGCAGTCCCACATATCTAGACAATCCTCCCCACCTCCTGGGCTGTGCATTTCCATAGTACCTGTAACATAAGTATGGTCATGATCTTCTTCCACTGACTGCTACTAGAAACTTACTGGTCAATCAAAGCGGACTAATGGGTCACATATGCTTGCAGGCAAAAGTGCGGCTTATTACTATCTGGCCCTCATCCTGACAAAAATCAGCAAATTTAAGGTTGGCCTAATACTCCCAGTCGTCTAATCAGAGGATTCCGTGAAACGTGCTATCTGATAATATAGGTAATAATTCCTCCACCACTGGCTGAATTGGTCTTGTTACCCTTCATTCGATCCCTCCAGTGGTTCGCTCAGCTGAAGGGTAGGCCGTCTTCCGAAGGCTGCTTCTGGGCCTTTGGAATGGCATAACTAGCTTAAGACAATGCAACCACGATATGAGAGCAAAACCTATCGTCATCAAACGTAATTATGTGTTTACATCTAGCATACTATTCAATGCGTGGAAGGGTCAGGTCTTGACATTGTATCGTGACAGGTTCGAAACACCAAATTCTGCATTCTTTACTATCATAAGAGAATCCTTTTCCGGGGTGAATTCAGCTATAGTAACATAGTTACTTGTAAGAAGGCTATGCTGGAATGGGATCTTGATACAAACGGCCTCTACCATGCAAGGATGCTACTTTGTGTCAACATAGTTGATAGTCCATAATAGAAGCGTATAGTCCTTTGTTCAATTTTAGTTTAATTTTTTTTTTTTTTTGTTATTGATTCTTTCTAATTATATGATGGCAATATCACACTTGCAGAACGCCGGATTGGTTCCTTCAATACCCTGGTTACACCACGTAGGCTATCGAATGGAGTAATGCATTAGCTTCGGCTTCTACCGAGTTATCCAGATCCCGTAGGATGATATGTATTCCCCGATGTGCGGGGGATAAAGCATGGTCAGTTGACTGCCCCGGAGAACAATGAGTCCAAAGAAAATGAGATATTCGTGGACCGTCGCCGCTTGAGAGGGGGACTCTATCACGCGGTCTTTTTCACTTCTATTGTCATCCTGCAACCCTAAGCCTCGAGAGTCGGGGGGTATTCGCAATGAGCAAGTCCAAGTATCAAGAAGCACCTGAAGACGATGGATCGGGGGGTCTATTAGGATGCACTGAGACTCCTCATTCGAGCCCTGACCGACTCCCGGTCCCAAGATATCTTCTTTATATGCCACTGGGGATCAGCCTCCTCTTCAATCTTATCAATCTGTTCTATATCATCCAAGGTTCAGGAGATATTTGCATTCCAAACCCTACATATCGTAAGTTAAATTGGACAAAGTTTTTCTCGGATTATTACTGTTAAACTCAATGACTAATATCACTGGTTAACATATTGATCTTGCGAAATAGCACCAGCGAACCAGATCATAGATTATGAGACCGTGACCTTTACCAGCGGCTCCGGATCTGCTAAAACCCCATATATGGGCCCTTTTAGTGACGCGTATGATAAAGCGTGGGATGACTTATACAACTGGATGGCACCTTGACTTCTACCTCTAAACTTCCATATCGAAATGCTCTTACCAAGCTTGGCTCCTTTTTTTTCTTTTTTTTTTTTTTTTTTTTTTTTCCCCCTTTGGAACATATGAGACCATCAAGATCCCGCAGTGAGACGCGGCCAAGCTAATTAATCCTACTATTCCACTTGCCTCTCAGCCAGGCATGCATATGGTTGGACTCGACGTTTTTCATCAACTTCATTGCCTGGTATGTGTTGTTTTCTCCTCTATAGCGGGAATACTAATATACTAACCCCTCCTTATCAGCACCACCTCCACAAAAAGCCCTGGGGTAATGACATGGGTCTCAACATGAGTGATCCTGAAGCAGAGGAGGTGTTTTGGCGCCATCTCGACCATTGTTCAGTGGAGAAGGTGTATATAATATTTGAATATCAATAGGGACCATGGCTACAGTATGAAGATTTGCAGAGGTTCAGTGACATCCCACACCGTTGAGGATATAGAGTTAGAATCATGCCCAGTAATGACTAGAGCTGATTAGTAGTACTTCGAAGCTTTCTAAAGGAGAAGTACTGGCTTGACGTTCCAATGGCCATTGAGAGATAGTAACACTTGAATACTCGAGAAGGTAACTAGTAGTAGTGATATCAACTTCCCAAAAAGGCAAGATTGAAGCTATCCTCGGTCCGACTGCGACTCCGGCCTTCGGGCATCGACAAACACCCAACCCGCAGTCTCGTGGCTGGCTCACCACCGCAGCTGTTCACGCGCCGGTCGCTGCACCTATTGTCGACTCCTCATTAGCTGTTGGTTCTCTTGAGCTAGGACTAGAAACCATGGCGACAAGTGTGGATGCCAAGCTGCTGAAGCAGACCAAATTTCCTCCGGAATTCAGCCGGAAGGTGGACATGACCAAGGTCAACATTGAGGTGATGAAGAAGTGCGTTGCAAAAGCCCCAGCTAAGTCTTATCGCGAGGTGCTGTTATCACCCGGGTCTGGAGCTAACACTTTTAAATTATTGCAGATGGATTGCTGGAAAGATCTCCGAGATCCTGGGAAATGAAGATGACGTCGTTATTGAGCTCTGCTTTAACCTTTTAGAAGGGTCGCGGTTTGTATGTACAACCTTTTACCTTTGGCCTTCCATGCTGATTTGCTATGTTTTACCTGGCGTTCAGCCATCCAAGCTAACTGGTTTCACTTTGCATTATCTTAGCCCGATATCAAGTCCCTGCAGATTCAGCTCACTGGATTCCTCGATAAAGATACTGGCAAGTTTTGCAAGGAGCTGTGGTCGCTATGTTTGAGTGCCCAGGAAAACCCCCAGGGTGTGCCCAAGGAGTTGCTGGAGGCAAAGAAACTGGAGCTTATCCAAGAGAAGGTGGGATATATTACGGATATCCGGGTGCTGGTCTCGCGCTGACGTCCTCGTTATCTAGATCGAAGCGGAAAGAGCCGCCGAAGAAGCCCGCAAACAGAAGGAACAGGAGCGCGCACGAGAACGAGAACTTGAAGACCTTCGACGCAGAGAACGATCTGAGCGCACAAGGGGAGGAAGAAGAGGCGGTGGCCGCGGTGGTCGAGACTTTGATAGACGTCGGTCGCCTCCGCGACAGCGCAGCCGTGACCGTTTCCGAGGTCCGCCTGGCAGACGAGAGTTCGACTCCTACGTGCCCTCAGGCTCTCGTCGAGGCCGTCGGCCATCCCGTTCGCCCAGTCGCTCTCGCTCTCGCTCCGTGTCTTCCTCGCGCTCGCCTCCACCACGTCGGCGCCATCCTGGCAACGACCGGAACCGACGACGTCGGTCAATTAGCGGCTCTGTCTCCCCGGACCGCGGTGATCGCAGGAGGCCCAGGAGACGCAGCCCTGATTACGGTGATCGTGCAAGATCCAATACCCGCAGTGAATCATCACGCTCACGTAGTCCCAGAAGAGACCGACGGAGACGGAGATCCGTTTCTTCCCGCAGTGCATCGCGTTCACCTGTCCACAGAGACCGGCGCAGGAGAAGAGGTTCTTCGGCATCAAGGTCCCGTTCGAGGTCGCAAGGGTCGGATGGTAGCGGCACCAGACGCAGAGGATCATCGCATTACTCTTCACGAGATGATAAGAAAGAATCCACCGCTGATATTGCAAAGGCCCGCAAGTCCCGTGACGACCGTCGCTTGAGTCGCAGCAGAGAGCGCAATGACACCCGCAGACGCCGGTACTCATCCCAGAGTGTCAGCCGCAGCCGCAGTCGAGGCCGTTCCCGCAGCGCCAGCCAGGATTCCCGCAGTCGGAGTCGGAGTCGCAGCCGTAGCCACAGTCGCATGAGGGATAGGAAGCGGCGTCGGTCCATTGAGAGATATGCCCCAGTTGCACGGAGACGGCGCAACACGTCCTCCGTATCCGTCCCCAGTGATAAGCGAAAGAGGATGGCTGATGAAGACGAGGATGCCGCCAAACGATCACCACCGCCGGCTGAGAAGCCAAGCTCGAGCGACCACGAGATGAAGGATGCCACTGAGGTGGGTGAATGATTTCTAAGGGTCCTCTTCACACAAAATCTATGGTTTCCTAAGTTCGTTCAATGCCCACAACTCTGCTCTGCCCCTCTCACACCCAAACTAACCACCTAATTGCAGACTGCTGTTCCCTCCAATAACGCAGCTCGTGTACGCATCTCCAGCTCCGAACTACGCGAGAAGCTGCTCCGCGAGAAGATCATCGCGATGCGCCGGACCGCCTCGAGCGACAAGGTAGGTAGCTCTACATCTTCAAGGTAGTTCTCATGCCCTACCGTTCAGGGCACACACAGCTTCACCTACATAAACCACATACCAAAGCCCCACTAAAGAGCGAAGGATTGGAGGATTCCGCAACTTAATATTTAGCGATCTATTCACACGTGGTAATGTCACTATAAAACAATAAACAAAAAAGAGAGTTTGCACCCTATGCCTGTCTCAGCAATATCTCCGTCAATAGTCCAACTACCCCCTGTACCATCATACTTTAATTTATTTGCCTTCAAAGATCAGACCACGCAATCCCAATTCCGCGGAACGAACAGCAAAGTTTGCTTGGCAAGTAAATTAGTAGATACTAGATAGTCTACGTTCCCAAATATCAGTCCGGGGGGGAACCCACTACTAGCGCACTTAATTTAAACAAAGTTTATCCGGCATGCGACCGTTTTCGGGGCATTCTCCACAAGGCTAGGTTGACTATTGAATATTGGGTTGATCGACTATTGAGACTATTGTTTGTCGGTTTATCTAGACCGTTGAGCCGTTGGTATAGCAGATGCTCAGTTATTGGGGAGATCTTAATAAGTGGTTGGTGGTTGTGGTTAGCTGGGGAGGGGAAGTGTGAGAGTACGCCCCTATTCTATGTGCTGAAGAGCCAGGGGGTATGGAAGGATATTCCGTGGTGAGTTAGTGGGCTGTAGAGTAGGACATGATATTCTGCATTCAGGAATCAGATAGAAGAGGGAATAGTACCATCGAGCACGCCGTTCGGGATTCGTATATGCTTCTGTTTTTACCTATGCGTAGTCATTATCGGGGTTGACACATGCATCTTGTAAAAGACACACCCTATGTTGAGTAGTACACAGCCTATGAAGTATGCCCTCAATGGGTATCTAGATCAATTTAAGAGATAGAGGTACTAGATAGCTAATAGAGCTACAACAGAATTACACTGTAGTTACAGGTTCGAAGCTATCTAATCCACATCAAAGGGCATGGATGATTCACCAGTTGACCATGAAACATGGAAGTTGCTGAATGACAGCTATAACACCACTTCATATAATACAATGAGCTTGTCTACACTTCACTCTCGAATGATGAACATGGACAGGAAAATCCAAACCAAACAATACCCCTCCCTCCCCTCGTAATCGTATCCCTTAACCTCGAGACGAACAATCCATACCAACCGCCCCCTATACTCCAACTGTCACCATCATCAGCACAGACACCAAGTAAATACCGACCCAACAATCACAATCCAGTCAGAAACTCACAATAAATAATACCTGACTACTATACCCTATCTCAAGTACTGAATCCACCTACACAGAGCACCGCAGATCACCAAAAACACACTGAGTGTATACAAAGTACTACGTAGGTATAAGATCATCTCGATAAGAGCTTAAGCCCATACCATTACCCACAACAGTACTCCATAACGTCCGTCCCACTGTATACTCGTGCCATATAATGGATGACGTCCGCCTATCACACCCCACAATCCTATATATCAAATATTATTATCATTATCACTATGATAGAAAACAAGCATACAAATTAATAATGAATTTAATTAAATGACCCCATTCACACAGACAATCCCACTAACCCACTAAGTGGATAGATAGCTAGCTAGCTAGTCTAGCAAGCAAAGCATGAACCTCCCATCCCGTCTCCATTTTTTCCTCCCACCATTGCTAACCAAGTAACTACGTACTACTTACTTCTCGTACGCATAAGCTCCAACTCATCATCATCATCATCTGTCTTCGTCAGCTTACCCCACTGCCGTGCCGCTGTCGTGACGTACATCATATCCCGTCCTCAGCCCGCTTGGTGATGGCGGTGACAGCTGCGTGGCGTGGCTGTGTCGTGTTCTTCTAATTATGATCGACTTGGGTTCGTGTTTAGCTCCTCAGACCCTGTCAGCTGAGTGGGATGAGTTGGCTAGACTAGATTCTGGAAGCCTTGATGAGTAAAAGGTAAACAGACTAACTATCTTAACTAACAGGCAGGGATTCGAATTAGAGGGGTGTTCGTTCGTTGGTTTGTTTGGCTCTAATCACGATTGACGGGATCGTCGGGGGGGGCAGGGGAACTGTCTTACTAAGAACGAGGATTGTCTCTTGCATTACTGCTTTGGGAGATTTGGGGCACATGGGGGCCACACGTGTTGTTAGTCAGATGAAGATGCTAAGAAAGTAGTAAGATTTACGGAGTATCTTGGGATGGCGATGCGTTGGTTTGGCATACGGATCGAGATTAAGAGAAAAGAAGAAATAAACATTCAGGACGAGGTTGGCTTTCGCACAATCCTCCATCATAAGTACTGTACAGGTATTCAAATAACACATCATTGCATCGGCAAAGCGAATGGACTCCATTGGAGGGAAAGGTGGGATAGTATAAAACAGTCAAGCCAGAAAGTAAAGATTTGTACCTGCTTCGCCGCTATAGACATCCTGCTCCCCTCGCCTTGTACAAATTCGAGCAGATATTCAAGACAATCTTCACAATAATTAGAATTAGAAAATTAGGTATATACAGGAGGACTATTCACCATTGATGCCGTTGCTATCGTCGTAACTTGTGGGCTGCTGTTGGAAGCTTACCAGTCGCAAGCCGAAACAGTAGCTGTGACGGTGACAGTAACCACCTGAGTCTCGGAGCCGGAGCCAGAGCCGGAGCCGGAACCAGCGACAGGAGCGGTGGTGATCTGAGGAGAGGAACCACCCTCAGTGGCCGAGGTGGCAATGGGGACAGGAGTCACGGTCTCGGTAGCGACAGGGACGACAGTCTGGCCGGTGATGGTGTCGCAGGGAGTGGTGGAGGCGCCAGCGCTGGCGCCCTCGGGGACGCTAGCGGTGGGAACAGCAGGGACGCTAGCAGCGCCGGAGGGGACGACACCACCACTGGGGGCGGGGGAGCCACCGCTGGGAGCGTTGCCAGAGCCAGACTGAGCAGGAGCGGCAGGGGTCTCGGAGGGGCTGACACCGCTAGGGGCACCAGGGGCACCAGACTCAGCAGGGGCACTGGGAGCGGAACCGCCCTCAGTCATGGTAGCAACGGGAACGACAGTCTGACCGGTGATAGTGTCGCAGGGGGTGGTGGAAGCACCAGCGCTGGCACCCTCGGGGACGCTAGCGGTAGGAACAGCAGGGACGCTAGCACCACCGGAGGGAACGACACCGCCGCTGGGGGCAGGGGCACCGCCGGACTGAGCGGGAGCAGAGGGAACAACAGCACCGCTAGGAGCAGGGGCGCCACCGGAGGGAGCACCAGGGGCACCAGACTCAGCAGGGGCGCTGGGGGCAGAGCCACCCTCAGTCATGGTAGCGACAGGGACGACAGTCTGGCCGGTGATGGTGTCGCAGGGAGTGGTGGAGGCGCCAGCGCTGGCGCCCTCGGGGACGCTAGCGGTAGGAACAGCAGGGACGCTAGCACCACCGGAGGGAACGACACCGCCGCTGGGGGCAGGGGCACCGCCGGACTGAGCGGGAACAGAGGGGACAACACCACCGCTAGGAGCAGGGGCACCGGAGGGAGCACCAGGAGCACCGGACTGAGCGGGAGCAGAGGGAACAACACCGCCAGACTGAGCAGGGGCACTGGGGGCAGAGCCGCCCTCAGTCATAGTAGCAACGGGAACGACAGTCTGACCGGTGATAGTGTCGCAGGGAGTGGTGGAAGCACCGGCGCTGGCGCCCTCGGGGACGCTAGCGGTAGGAACAGCAGGGACGGAGCCGGAGGGGACAGAGGGAACGCTACCAGAGGGAGCAGCACCTCCAGAGCCAGAGCCGGAACCAGAGCCAGAGCCAGAGTTAGAGCCAGAGCCAGAGCCAGAGCCAGAGCCAGAGTTAGAGCCAGAGCCAGAGCCAGAGCCGGAGCCGGAACCAGAGCCAGAGCCAGAGCCGGAGCCGGAACCAGAGCCAGAGCCAGAGCCAGAGCCAGAGCCGCCAGTAGAACCGCCAGTAGAACCACCAGCACCACCACCGACGATGGGGGTACCGCTAGGGGCACCAGACTGGGCGGGAGCACTAGGAGCAGAACCGCCCTCGGTCATAGTAGCAACGGGAACAACAGTCTCGCCGGTGATAGTGTCGCAGGGAGTAGTGGAGGCACCGGCACTGGCGCCTTCCGGAACAGAGGTAGTGGGGACAACACCGCCGCTAGGGGCACCAGGAGCACCAGACTGAGCAGGGGAGGAGGGAACCGAAGGAATACCGGAAGGACTGACACCGCTGGGAGATCCGGGGGCACCGGACTGAGCAGGCTTGCTGGGGCTGGAACCGCCAGTGGGGACGGAGACGGTGGGAACAGCAGGAACGCTGGCAGCGGGGGTCGAAGCGACGGCGGGAACGCTCGAGGCGCTGGGGATGAGCTTGGAGGAAGATCCGGAGCCGGAGCCAGAGCCGATAGAAGGACCGCCGGGGATGCTGCAGCCGGTAAGCCATTCAATGACGATGATCTCAATGGAGGAGCTGATATCAACACCCGCGCAGCCACCGATGACAGCAGACAGCTCAGCACGAGACTCCAGGGAGAGGGAGGCCAGGCTCTCGCCAGACAGCAGCAGGGAGAGCACGCCGCTAATGTTGACACCGATGAGAGTGTCGATGGTACCGGTAATGAAAGTCTCAAGTTCGGTAATGATGTCAGTGGACAAGTCAACGGTGACGTCGCCGCTCAGGGCAAAGGAGAGCCAGAAGTAGAGAACGGCCTTCAGCTCGACGCCCAGCTGGCAGCTATCGCCGGAGAGCCAGACTGCCAGGGCAGCACGGGCATCGGCGCTGATGGAAGTGGCAAGCTTGCCCGAGATACAGGCCTCCAGAACGACCTTAACATCGGCCTCAATGTCGGTGGCGAGGGAGGACTTGAGGAAGGCAGAGAGGTAGGCCTGGGCGCTAGCGGTGAGGGCACCGGAGGTTTCGACAAGGGCGTTGATGGCGGCACCGACGGAGACAGTGGTGAGACCAGCAGTGGGCACAGTGCCAATGGTAACAACACCAGACACGCTAGCCTTGCCCTCCAACCAAGCAAGGACAGCAGCCTTGAGGGAGGCGCTCAGAGAGCACGCGGAGCCGTTAAGCCAGACCTTCAGGGCGGCCTCGATATCCGAAGCAAGGTCGGCGACGACACCACCACCAGCACAGAGGGAAAGACCAGCCTTGATGTCGGCATCCAATTCAACACCAACGGATCCGGAGATGAAAGTAGACAGAGTAGACTGGAAAGAAGAGCTGAGGACAACAGCGGCCTCAAGGTCGGAAACAGAGAAGATACCATCGACAGTCACGTAGATGTCGCCCTTGGCAGCGACCTCGGCGCAGGTGGGGATGAATAGAGCGAGACCAGCACGGACATCGACGGACAAGGTGGCAGAATCCTCGCCCTCACACCAGGCCAACAGAGACGACTTGAGGGAGGCATCGAAGCTGGCATGAGCACGGATCCACGCGGCCAGCTCCGCACGAGCGGAGGCATCGATCTTGCCGGCAGTGCAACCCAGAGCACCACCTTCGAGGACAGCAGCTGCCTGAGCGCTGATACCAGTGAGGAGGCTTGCGGAGCTCTTGACACCGCCGCCAAGGAGGGCCTCGATGAAACCGGTCAGATCCTCACCAAGGTCAGTGAGAATCTCGGCGACGAGGCCAAAGGTACGGGGGTCCAAGTCCTTCGTGGGGAGAGCGAGAGCATAGCTCGCCAGACCGGCGAGCACGAGAAGCTTGTCGGAACGCATTGTGCCGAAAGGGCAAAGAATGTATAATAAAGAGTGGGTAGGACGTCAGCGAGTGTCTGAAATGAACCTGTCAAAAGAATCCAAAAGAGTATGAAAATGGAAGAACGGCTGGCTCGAGGCAGCCTAATTGGTTAACGACAGACTGGTGAAAATGAGGGTCGGGTAAGGAAAGACAGAACCCAAAAACACAAGACAAAACAAAGTGACTGACGAAGGGCTTGATGTTCATGGAACGAGGTGATCATCCTGGAGGTATATATACCCCTGAGAGGGATTTCCTCCCGTGCCAGCGGGATCGGGCAATGGAGCCCTCCCCCAAGTCTGGAACCCACGAATGGAGCTGCACACCCGGCTGAGAGCATGTTGGGTCCTCTGTGATCGAGGGACCCGGATCTTCGAGGCCAAGCTAGCCAAGTGGATGCGCCGGGTGCCAGTGGAAACTAGGAAGCAAACCAGAGCGGACTACCGTTGTAGGTGGGCTCATCCGAAACAAACTAAGCAGAACGAGAATACTATTTCGGGGAACGGGGTATCCTGGACTGAGAAGGTATTAGTTCCGAGCTTTTTGCGGGTCACCTCTGACCTTTTCCGTCCATAGTAGTAATATTTTGTCAAGCAAAGGCGCTGTAAGCAGGGGGAAGAGCCTAGGCTGTGAGCCACTGACCAGGCCCGCCACCAATTGGGGCTCTCAATTCAGCACTGGTGAGAGGCTCCGTTGTCAGGGAGTAAGTGAGCAAGTACACTAGTATCAATCAACCATGCTTCCGACATGAAGACACTAATGCTAGCATCCACGACGGGAGAAAAAAGCAAGCAAAAAACCCATTGATGCCTCGGTGTGAGCGTGTGGGTGGGCACCACTGCTGCGGGAAGGTACAGTACAATGGGCATCGGCAGTACGGTACGAGCAACATCATTATCATCAACATCATCGTCGGGTCACCCGTGGGGTGGTCAGCGACGGAATGCCAACCAGAAGAGCGAGTTGAGGGGGGGATGTTGGCTGTGGTGATCGGATGGCGGGCCAATGACAGTCGGACTGCGCAGACCCTCATCAGGTAAACAAGAGGATAATCCCAGTGTGCCGGCCAGCCGTCGAGGCCGACCCATGGGCGATCAACACGGCCGGTGTTTTGTCCCTGAATTGTGAGCCCGGTTCCACCTTCTTCCACGGATGAAGTCAAGATGAAACTTTAGAGTTGCTTAGATCCCTATTCAGAATGTGATAAAACAACTAAGAGAAAAAATAGTCAAATACGGAGTACGGAGCCTAACCGACGCTATCCAGGTGTGGTTAGGAGGGAGAAAAGACAAGTGTGGTGGGCAGAGGAGGGGAAGGCAAAAGAAGAAAAACTAGGAAAAGCAACAAAAAAAGGCGTTAAGATTTTTGTGACATATGTGCGTTGTTGACTGATCAACTAATTTCCGGGGCGGTGCATAAATCCAGTTCCGGAACGTTAGGCCTCAAAGACAAAGGAAAAAGCAATGACAAATGCGAGAGACAAGTGAACTCTGAATACTAATAGAGACGGGGGGGCCACCCACTCTCCCCCGGACAAGAAATCCATTCCACAATACGAAGTAGATAGTGCAATCAATAATTGAAAGGAGCACAGATCTTATCTGCGCACTACAGTCTTGAGGGACTGGTAGTATAATCAAAACATTGATTGAAAAATCCGTGAGAGTGCTGGACAGTGTCATGCTCTACCCTCTCCAAATATAGAAAATTAATTTCCCCCAAGGAGGCAGAAAAACTCTCACTTCAAACAAGCCAGCTGGGGTTCACTAACCTAAAACAGTTCCGGGAGACTACTTGTGGACTGAAGTGTGCAGGGGACAACAATAAGCAGAGGAACAGGAGCACCTCCATTCTGTGCTGTGCACAACCAAATGTGGCCTGGTGGATGCAGCCTTTGCACGCTAAATTAGTGCATTAGCATCGCTTTTTAGTCAGGGACAGGAAGCTGCGGATGCAGTAGGTACTGCCTTAGCGCGGCAGGCAAGGATACTTGCGGTAAAGCGCCCTCAGCCTAAGAGGTAGAGAAGCCAAGGGAACATCCAAGCAAACGACAAGCTGCACAACACAGTCCGCCCTAAGATGTCGGTTGATTTTATCATGCAGCAGTCTAGACTGCTCTCCAATACCAATATTAAGCCCTGGCTAGTCGACACTGGCAAAGGTAATGGCAAAGAAGGCCTTCGGAGGGCAATCGTTGCCCGAACAGGCGTTCCTGACCCGAAGGCCTCGTACCTTTGGTTCCTGAGGCTCCACCCCCCTCTTTCTCCCCAAATTCTCAATGGCCTGAGCTGCCGGCTGCCCGCTTTAACCGAACACTAGTAAGTAGTAAGGTCAGTCCTGGGCCGACGGCTTCCCCTCTAGACGATGGAAATCAAGGCAATGGACAGTGGGTAGTTGTGGGCACAGGTTTGTTTGACTCTGGAACAGTGGCATCTGCATGATGGCTTCGTGGTTTCATCACTTGCAGATGGGTTCGATCTTTGTTCGTTCCTGTGGAAACTCTAAAAACTGACCCAGTTAGGACTTCCAGTTAAAGTTGACCGGGTTTTGAGTCGACTAAACTCGGAAGATTACCTGATTTGATTAATATTGATTGACCGCCGCAAATAGCCAGGTACACCCTGCACCTAAAAATGAGCGAATAGCAATTGGAATATGCTGCCTCCGGAGCATTGACCGGGGAGCAGCTGCCAAGTCACTCTGAGGGGAAGGTAACGGAGGCAATCCGATCAGTCACTGCAGGGGGAAGGGGCGAACTTCGGCCACATCCATGGAAGAACTCTTCTCCTGAAACCCTCGGTCTCCCTAGGGAGTAAGTACGACGACAAGGAAAAAACAGAAGACGACGACGACGATGACGATAATACTGACGGGAGACACACTCGGCCGCGCATGCCTCTTTAGGAAGCTGCAGACCATCAGGTGATGTCAGGTGCTTGTGGCAGGTCACGTCAAACCTGAGGCCAAAAGCACTTTTGACAGTCGGGAATATCGTTCATGCTCCATGTTTCAAGGTTGGACTAGTTCCCCTGTAACTGGGATCTTTGCCCCAGCGAGCTTATTCCACGTTCTATTTTTGCAGAGTTGATCCATATCATAGAACTCCTCCTATTCTCCGCCAGTTCATCAATCTGTAATGTTTGAGACTGGGATTACGCCACTGAACTTACGAGTCATGGCTTACAGTTTAGCATGCCCATCCAAACGCAATTGTATCGGTAAGAAAAATCTCCCATGATACAGATACAAACTATTTGTGGCTCAGAGACTGGACTGGGGGGTCGGACCCCATCTTTGAGCAACTTTTCGCATTATCAGTTTTCACGCTCATCAGGGCACTTACAAGTCGATGGGAAATCATAAACCGTACTGGTTAGCAGATGTGTGTTATCAAGAAGTCAACGCAGCAGATACTAGCACTAACAGCAATTGTCACATCTAATGGCAATTGATTCATGCCTTCGACGTACCAATTTGCTGCTCATAATTCCCCTCGGAGTATGGAACAGGGGACTAGAAAGGTTTTCCCTGTTCACAAAAACGCCCCATTTCAGCAAAGCTACATCAAGCCCTCTAGCCACAGAGCTTACGAATGAGGCAGCTAGCTACTAGAAATCCTAGTTCATGTGAAGTGTGATAGCTGGAGTAGTCCACTGTTGAAAAGATGGGAGGCAATTACCAGCAAAAAGTACCGGGGCCTCTCTATAGTCAATTCATTCGTTGTCTGCTGTACAGAATTCACGGTAGATATGAGCATCAGCCATAAAGTCAAGCCCATTCCATGTGTTGTACCAGGTCATGCTATCCCATCCTATCTCGTCATTTCCGCTAGAGGAACTCACTGGAGGTTAAGTATATCTACTGTATAGCCATCGATCCTAGTTAGTCTGTGTGTTGTATTTCGTTTACAGTCGCGTTGCGGTTTGATTATGTACACTACTGCTAGTAGTACTGCTGCCAGATGTCTACTACTACCACGATACCGGTAATTGGCTTCAATTGTATTGGTGTAGTGTGCTTAGTATCGCTGGTTAAACTAGTAGTAGTACTAAGTACTGATAACTCATTAGTACACGCTTCAGATGGTTAGCGGTAGTTCAGTCGTTCCTATGATGATATTGCTACACTTCCCGAAAGGTGAGTTGACAGATGATGTTCCATTCGGATATATAATACTATGTATATATATCTTTGCTCTATCCGAGCACCACTGCAACAATAGTAGACTAGACAACTATAGTACCAGATAGTAGTAAAATAAAGTAGAATAAGATTGATTAAATAATTAATAATTAATAAAAGCCAATGCTTACGCCAACTACTTGTATTCAGAAAGTACCATGGCACATCAGTGCACGGAGATAAAGGGCTACCATTGGAGCAGAAGCATTAACCGTAGTAGTTGATTTGCGCTAAAAATCCCCGGGGGTCAACGTCGCGTCGAAGCGAGAGCACGGTTGCCTGCAGTGAGATGCAGAGTCAGCCAGGATACAAGCGAAATAATTTCCCAAGAGAAGTGGACATTGTCAGTGCAAGCAAGGAGGGGTTTGTACTACTTTGGACCAAGTACTACCTAGACAGTTAACTCGACATCATCGAGTGGGGAGTCTAATGATCATTGTTGATGGAGGGAAGTTGATTGCCCGGGGCAACCAGAACAACAACCCAGTCACGTGACCCGCGCCCAGCCACCGGCAATTCGAAGTTGGATGTTTCGATTTACTCTAGATTAATCACAACACGCCAAACGTCGACTACTAACCCTTTGCAGCAGGTACCATTGGGGCCAACTGGGCTGGTTCTCCGAGCTGACACGTCAATGCGGTCTCTCCGAGCTCTTGCATGAAGCCGTCGCCCCCCTTCATCCTCGACAGCACACCTACCGGCTTACTTCGACAATCAATCCTCGTACCCGTGAGATGTCCCGCGCCGCGCTCTCCCGCTCCGGGTCCAGGCGGACCTCCCCAGAGTTCCAGAACTCATCCGCCTTTCGAACCAATTCCTCCGTGGCTAGACAATACTCGCCGGGAGACAGTTCTGACGACGAAGTTCCGGAACCGAAATTCAGCGCTTCCGTCAAGGCGCTGCTTGACGAAGATGGACTCGATGTGTCCCCGCGCCTTCGCGGCGAGCGCATGGGATCCTCTGCTGGTTCCAGCCAGGAAAGACGATCCCGAGCGACGCCGCCTCAAGACCACTCGACGGGAAGTCCTGCGCCTCGCGTGGTTCGCCTTGCACCATCATTAAGCGGCAGTGGCGGCAGATCGAGAAGGGAGGGATCACTCCTCTCCAACAGCGAAAGTGCCGACCAGGATGCAAGAACCAATTCGAATGATTTCATTACGCCCGCTCCTAGGCCCCGCAGCGTGCGAATCAATGCATCGCGTAGCCATACACGCTCACCCGCATCCGTATCCCCCTCTCAGAGACGCTCCGCTGAAAGGAGCTATGTCGACGACCACGGAAGTGCGGAACGTTCAGAAGATGAAAGGAAGTATAGGTATGAGGATGACTACGCTCCTCGTACCGGTCCTTCATCGGTATTACGAACGCGAAACCCGGAGGATATCGGCATGGCGAGCTCATTGCGCGTCAAGCGAGTTGGACGTCTCACTGGAACGTTCCTGAACGGCCCCGCAAGACGCGGTGTATTACGACGGCAGAGTGAAGAGAACAATGAAGACCGAGAACTCGACGCGAATATCGATAACGCCGACTACCACTATAAGAACACAGCGAAATCTTCGTCACCCAAGGTATCATGGGCCGATCCAAGCCCACCACTCAGAACCGATGAGCACCGATCCTATGATCGTGCAGATGGACCCTTTTCTAGATCATCCTCACCGAAATCCTATGGATCGCACTCGAAGTCGACACCCGGGTCTTCTTCGGAGATGTCCTCCAAACCCTCTAGTTCCCAAGAACAGCCTGTATTCAAAGTCCCTCTTCCGCCAACATTGCCTTCTTCTAGAGACCAGGAGAATGAGCCTCCACCGACATTCAAGCGTACTAAGCCTCAGGGTTTCAACTTGCTGGACAAGCCTGAGAAGCTTGCTGTGGTGTATGGTGACGAGAAGAAAGAGCATGGGGAGACACCTGCAGGGAACGGGAACTCCCCTAGAAAGATCCTTGCAACAAGAAGTAATAACACACCTCACAGACCGGCCCCTCCTCCTCCTAAGATGTCCGTTCTTGAGACCGCTACCGCGACAGGAGGAGCTGCCACGGCATCACAATCACGGAAAAAGCGCAGTCAAGTTTCCGTCAACCACAAGCCCTTCACCCGGCTGGACTGCATCGGTCGTGGTGGAAGTTCGAGAGTCTACCGCGTCATGGCTGAGAACTATAAGATCTTTGCTTTGAAAAGGGTGAATTTGGAGGATGTCGATCCGACTACCTTGGCTGGATACAAGGGTGAAATTGACTTGCTTAAGAAGTTGGAGAATCTTGATCGTGTTGTTCGTTTATTCGATTGGGAGTTGAACTCAGACAAGCATACTTTGAGTGTTTTGATGGAAATAGGAGAGTCAGATCTAGAGAAGATCCTTACCTACCGCCTGAACGCGGAGGACGCCAGATTCGACATCAACTTTACCCGATACTACTGGAAGGAGATGCTTGAGTGCGTTCAAGCTGTCCACGATCACAACATTGTCCACTCTGATCTGAAACCGGCGAACTTCCTCCTGGTTCAGGGCCGACTGAAGCTAATCGATTTCGGCATCGCGAACGCCATTCAAGATAACACTGTGAACGTGCATCGTGAACAGCAAGTAGGAACCCCGAACTACATGTCACCGGAAGCCTTGGTCGACTCCAATGCCTCACTTGGCCTACCAGCAAGTGTGGGGAAGATGATGAAGCTCGGAAAACCGAGTGACGTATGGAGTCTGGGATGCATTCTCTATAAGATGGTGTACGGCCAGCCTCCGTTTGCCAAAATCGCCAAATACTATGAACGCATCCTTGCCATCCCCAATCCCCACGTGAAGATCGACTTCCCAGCATTCGGCGTAGGAGGCGTCCCCGTACCTCCTGGACTAGTCCGAACGCTGAAGCGCTGTCTCCAGCGCGATCAAACCTTGCGTCCAACCGTGGAAGAGCTTCTCGGCCAGCGCGACCCATTCCTCTACCCAGACGCGCAGCTCGAGGGCGCCGTCCCAGTCACACAGGACATGCTGAACCGGATCCTCGTGAACGTGGTCAATCACTGCCGCGTCCGCGGTATCCCCAAGGACGAAGAACTAGCCGCTTGGCCCGCTGGATTCTTCGCCAAGATCAAAGCTGCACTAGAAGAAGGCAGCTAGATAATCATCACCAACCTACACTGTCGACTGAATCAACCAACCTTTCCTATGTTCCTGTCCCCCTTCCACGTCCTGATACCATACCCCTCCGACGAACCCGGCGTTCCCGAGTCACCACCGTTATATCCTCGCCTTTTTCTTTTGTTCCGTACGACACATACCTGTTTCTTCACTTCTTGTCCCAACTTGAATCTATACATCCTTTTCCTCTTCTACCACAATTATTTTGGTTTATGGAACACACCCGCTGGAAACATGGTGTTGTCTTTTTTTTGTCTTGAGTCGCGCTTCAGCCTGGGTGATTTATTGATTGATTGAGTCATTGACCGATTACGTGTTGTTTATTGATTGCATTGGAAGCTGTGGGATTCTCAGAAACAGCATGGGTATTTGGAGTTTGGTCTAAGAGTATAATTGGAATATACTAATTTACATATATCACTTTGCGCAATTCCGGACTTGCTGTAGATGGTCGTCTCAAAATAGATCCTACGTAGTTGCTAGTTACTTCTAGTATGGGGACATGTTTACCACTCAGACCAAATCAAGCTTCATTTATTGGGATACTTAATTGGTACGCTCACTCGCCTCAGCGAGCAATTTCAAGTCACATCAGAAAGTAGACAAATAGGGATCCTTTTCGGCAAATGAATATGAAAATTGGGAAACAAGACGGATACTTTGCGCGCCGCTAACGCCACACCCACTGATATAGTCTATGTGAAGACGAACACAAACCAACGCAACCAGGGCATATTTTGAGATAGGGAGGGATATGGTATGATGATATGAAGGAATAGAGCGGGATTCATAATCATGGATGAGAAGAGGTGTTTAGACAAGGAGAACAGCGCTGCAGTGATATAGTATTAGTGTCATAGATATAGGGCAGAATTTTAAGGAGGAAACTCACTTGACAGTGCCGTCCATGTCAGGGTTGTTGGTGATCTGCGCCCATTTACCCCAGACGACCTTGCCGCTGGTGGTGACGAGACCCAGTTCGGAAACGTTCACTTCAACGATAGTACCCTTGGTCAAGACACCCAGTTGGGTATACAGAGGGTTCTGGGGGTTCTTCTTGACGGAGAGGATGGGAAGCTGGACGGTGACACCCAGTTCGGGGCTGGAAAGGGAAAAAAAGCCATTACGTCAGTTGATCGACTCCCATAACAAACAGAATGAAGGGAAAGGGGATAAACATACTGCGTAACGTTGGCCTTCTTGTAACGCAGACCCATAGGACGAATGAACCGTTCGTACTTGACAGGGCGTCTGGTGAAGTCACTACCGACGAAAGTAGGCTTGGTGATCATGCGCTTCCAGGACTTCTTGTGGGTCTTCTTTCCGGTGTTGACGACCTTGAACATCTCCTCCTCACTGATACCCTTGACCTTAGGCAGAGGCACAGCGAACTTAGCAGCCTTCTCATTCCGCTTGTCCTTGATGGCGCTGGACAGGGCCTTGGCGTTGGTGGCCTGCGACCGATCAAGCAGATACTGGGGCAGAGGAGTCTTGGACGGCTCATCGGGAGCGGAAGACTTGACGTTCTTCTCTTCCTGCTCCTTGATGCGCTTGCGCATCTGGATCTTCTCCTTATGGCGCTGCTGCTGGTACAGCTTGGCCCTCAGACCGCGCAGGTTCTGCGCATCCTTGGACTGCTTGTGCGATTCACGAGCCTGGCGCTTGCGGACACGCTCATCGTGATCGAGCCGCTTACCGTGCTGCTTCTGCCAGCGTTCGATATACCTATTTCCCTCATCAGTATGCTTTGTTCGTTGCTTCGATATAAGGATTCCCCGGCGGTGGAAAAACAGCTCGGGTCGGGGCCCAGCTTTGGGGGAGTGGGTGGGGGAAGTGAGACGAACTCGTTCTGAGGCTGCACACGGAACAATCAGTTAGCAAAACCAGATACTATACAATTCAAGGAACATCTCAATCATACCATGATGAATCAACCGCGAGAAAGCGAGTCAAAAACAAGTTGATATCAAACAACGGCGGAGCCCGAAGTGTCTTGACAAGACAAAAAAGTTCGATGCGGCGGCAACGGGACTGGGTCTTGGCACTCCGATAAGTCACGTGGAGCACTTTATCTCTCTCCGTCCGGAATTTCATCCTGCGAGATGCTTCGGAGTCCAGGCACGGCACGGTCAAGGTCAACAATCGCCTCAATTCCCTCTCTCCCCTAGTCTCTACTACACACAACCATGTTCTCTCGAACCACACTGGCACGGGCACTTGCCCTACCCATCGAGCACACCGCCGCCCGATCCTCCATCCTCGCCGGCGCCAGCAACACCACCTTCCGTGCCTGCCTTCACCAAGCCACCACCACATCTTACTCTACAACAACATCATCACACCCCTCCGCTCCCCTCAGTGCCACTCCCCGGGCCCAAACTTCCATTCCCATCGAACAACCTCACTTCCTGACGCCCCAGAACACCATTCCCGAAACCCGCGCCGATGTGCCTCTCAACAAACAGCCCGTGGCCCCGACCTTCGACGCTCCATTGAAAGTGTCTCAATCCCTCCTCGACATGCTGCCCTACCTCACCTCGCAAAAGCCGCACTACATTACCGCCCACCTCCACGACAGACCCTACCTGCTTACCGAGGGTGATCAGCTGCGTCTGCCTTTCCTCATGCCCAAGGTGAAATCGGGCGATATCCTTCGGTTTAACCGGGCGTCGGTGCTCGGTTCTCGTGAGTTCTCGCTCAAGGGCGGCGAGAAGTACCTTGATGAGCGGTTGTTTGAGTGCCGGGTCCGGGTGATGGGTTTCGAGTCGGAGCCTTTGCGCATCACGGAGAAGACGAAGCGGAGACGCCGTCATGTGCAGAAGGTGACGAGCAAGCATCGTTATACCATTCTGCGGGTCATGGATGTTAAGGTTAAGACGGCGGAGGAGTTGTTGCAGGAGGGTGCGGTTGTGGTGCAGAGTGCTGATTCTGCGGCCAATGTTGAACTTAAGGAGTAGATCTCGGATTTGAGGGAAGGGACTTGAGGATTTCGCAAAATTTGAGCAAGACGTGGGCCGAGCCTTTTTAGAGGCCCACGTTTAGATGGGTATGGATTTTATGCTGTGTTAAATCCATTGGTTGGAACCGCGTAGAGCGGTATACCATGTACAGATAGGACTTTTCTGTTATGCACATTGAGGAGTGCAATTGTATTTTATTGTATAATTGGGTTTCGAATGTTTAGTTGCTCCTTGTATTTCCGTGTCCTCGAAGTTAGCAAATCGGGTTTACCTTTAGCAGCCGTTGTTACTGATCATCTAATAGGAAGAAACATCCAAGCAAGCTATACCCACTGATTTCATTAGCCCACACGCCCATTTCACATGTAAGGCAAAGGCGGGTGAGCGACGGCTCAAACTTCGTCTTATAGGACTAACAATGAAAGGCTGTTATTGATATAGCGTCTATCCTAAGGATGATATATTAGACAGCCACGCATCTGCTCTAGTCGTCACCTTCGATGCATTTCCGGTCACAACCCGTACAGAATTTCCTCGGCGATCTTCTCCGCAAAAGCATAAACTGTTGACTGAGGAGCCCCTGGAGGTAGGAACGGAAAACTGCTCGCATCGACAACCCTCAGTTTCTGAACCCCATACACCCGTGCGGAGCTATCCACGACTGCCATTGGGTCATCTTTCCTTCCCATCTTGCAAGTTGAGGATCCATGTGAGATAGTTGTCAACGATCTGCGGATGAAGTCAAGTATCTGGTCATATGTCGTCACGTTGTTTCCCGGTGTGAACTCTACCGGATCAGCGACGCCTAGGTCGGCCAGTTTCGCCCAAATCTGGCGACTCCGGTTGAAAGCTCCCACCATTATCTCCATGTCCGTGGTGTTCGCTAACCATTGAGGGTTAATTATGGGCGGAGTTGTCATGTTTGGGCCCGCTAGCGATATGTTACCGCGGGAGAAAGGTGCAACGTTGACGAAGCTAATGGTGGCATATATTTGACCGGCGCTCGCATTTTTGGGCTGTGGATAACCAAGGGGGGTATACACGGTCTCTGGCCAGTCATCTGGCAGGGTCGAGAGTGCTTGAATAGATTCATTCGAGAGGCGCCAGCGGTAGGGCTTGGGTAGTTTCTCCCATCCAAAATACCCTGGCCCAGGGATGGACAGTGGACCGGTGGCATTCACAATGTATTGCTTGACATTCGACTCCACTAGAGTATCATCGTCAGCTAACGATGCTACAGTCGGAACATCCACTCGGTGCGTCGTTCCGGCTGTGGGATGATCTTGTAAGTTTTGGCCCACGCCTGGTAGATGGCTGATGCAGCTGATGTTGAACCGGAAAAGTTGGTCGTGTGGACCAATTCCTGACACCATCAGTAAGTGAGGGGACTGAATGGCTCCTGCCGACAGTATAACCTCCTTCTGAGCACTTAGGGTGAAGTTAACTGGCGGGATGCCAAAGGTCCCAGCCGTTTCAACCTGGACGCCAGTCGCGACTCTATGATTATCAAACAATATCTTCTGCGCAAGTGTCTTATGATACACCACAGGGCCTAGGCCACTGTTGAGTGTCGATTGCAAGAAGCTGGTTTCTGACGAAGATCGATGAGCATTGATAGGATTGATGGTTAGGGTCATGTAACCAGAGCCTATAAGATTGCCGCTATTGAATTCAGTCTGCTTCAGACCAAGAGCAATAAGTGCTTTGCGAAACCAAGTTCCAAAGCCGTCAACGAAGTTACCAGACGAGACTTCTAGTGGACCACCGGTTGAGCTGAAAGCTTCTGGGTTTTGTATGTTCGTCGAATTGATGAAAAGCTTTTCATCCGGAGGAGTGAAATGCACTGATTTCTTGTAGTAGGGGAGCATGCTGGGAAACTCAAAGCTCTTGTCTCCGAGCTCTTCAGCCCATTTATGCAAACTGCCTATGGTAGGGCGATGATAATACATGTAGTTCCTTCCTGAAGTGCCTCCTAGCGTTTTCCCACGCGGATAATGAAGTGTGCGATTGCCTAGGCTCTCCTGGGGTTGGGTCATGAAATTCCAATCGACCAAAGGCTGGAAATCACTTCTATCTGGTCCGGAAAAGAAGGTCGAGTATTCTGGGACTACAGAAAGGTCACCGTTGTCAATTTCATAGAAACCGCCAGCTTCAACAACGGCCACACTGAGATATCCGCTCTTGACCAGTCGACTGGCAATAGTCAACCCGGCGGTGCCTCCACCTATTACGACGTAGTCGAACGTTGCATTTTGCCCGGGTATACCGAACCAAGTCCCCAAGAGAGGTCCACGCTGGTCATAGTCAAAGAGGTTGAGATCAGGGCCATCGTGTGCAATGGCCAGAGCTGCCAGAGATGCCAGGGTCAGCAAGGTCCCAAGTATTTGCATCATGCTTGCGCTTAGAGGGTATTGGATTGCTGTCAGAACAAACGGTTGGCCCCAAAGATTATCATTTGCGGGACGACACTGGAACGATCAAAGGGTGGACGAGAGCTAGCAGCGTGACAGCAACAATGTAAAGATACAGAGCAATGGAATGAATAGCAACTGCATGTTAAAATAAGATGAATGGGAGATGGAAGGACGGGAAGTAAAGGAGGAAAAGAAAGATAGTATGAACAAGGGAAGGCAAGTGGGCAGTCCAGGAAGGGAAGGAGTGAGCTTGCACACCAACAGCATCAATTCTTATTCGAAAAATCACCTACAAGATACAACGAATTGTGTCATAAGAGATGCTACCATTGACTTTTATAGCTTGCATAAATTTGAAGTATACGCTTATATCTTAACACACAGCATAGAAAGGTGATCTTCACGCCACAATCGCTTTCAATCCTAGCTCCACCCGGCAGCTTTCAAGGCTGTCCTTCTGCATCTGTTCATAAAGACTAATTTCATCGACCGTCGGAGTTCCCATCATCTGTTGGAACCCGTCCAGGTCGGCATCCGCCTCCATGATCAGTCGTTTGGACTGCGATGTGTTGCCTAGATTCGAGTTGAAAATACCTCCCGCAGATAGGGGAAGAAAGTCCTCATATGTGATGGGCTCGAACTCGAGAATACCATCCTCCAATAGCTGGCTGAGACTGGCCTCTTCTGATGCAAATCCTTCTTTACCTTTGGGTGTTGTTCGATAGCAGAAGTATGCTAGTTTCTGCTTTTGCAATTCATGGAGGTCATCTGGGAATCCTTCAAAGTGTTTCCTCAAAATTTCCTCATATTTATCAGGGTCAGCTGCTGTCTCTGCTGCTTCTCTGTTAACCTGACTGAGGATGTCATCATACAGCTTCCGGCCTTTCCGCGTGAGAGCATAGCCACGCTGCTCAACTTCGCCAAATCTTGCCGTATGGGATCCCTTGACATATGCCTCATTAGCATCACGGAAGTATACCGTCTCCTCCAGGGCCTTGAAGCTGGTCTGGCGTAGTAAGATGGGACAAACGCGTCGCGGAGGCCCTTCAATTCGCTCTTTCGCCGGCATACCATTTTTCTGCATCATCTTTTGAACAAGGTCGATATCAATGGTTCGAGGAGTAAGGTGGTTTATGTGGCAGCTAGGGAAAGATACAATGTCGGCGATTAACGGGTGCTCCTCCTTGAGGATCTTGTATTCTTCAAGCGTCACTGTTGCCTTGGAGTGCCAGCGGAAGGTTTCCAGCCCTTCGGTGATAAATTCCTTGCACTCATCAGGGGTGAGGTGGCCCTGTACCTCAGCGTGGTTGATCAAAGCCACCAAGCGGTCGGTGAAAATGTTTCTCTGTTTTAAAGCCCTCTGCGCCAGATCTCGTGTCCTCTCCATCAACAAGTCCATGCGCAGGACGGTCGTGAACACTCGGAACGGATGCCTGGCCAGGGCTTCCCTTGTCCTTGGTCGAAATGCGGTAGCATGCATTGGGAACCCAGCGACACTCAGATCATAATATCCAACAGGATACATGCCCATAACAGCAAACATACGCCTGATCGTGGCTAGCTCCTGCGCGGTTCCCAAGCGGATGGCACCATGTCTCTCGACACGGTTTCTGGAGGGCAATACCTCATCGGGATCAATGGCATCTGCACCTCCTAATTTCCGACTTGTATTAATTGCCTCCGCATCTGCCTTCCATACCAGGTCCACCAGGTCCCCGTAAAGGGGGACTTCGCTCTTATACATATTCGAGAGAGCATGGCAGAACCCGGCCCGCAGGTTATCTTGGTTCCAGTCCATACTGGTATATAGCCGTATATTATATCGTCGTGAGGGTGTATATATTTGCTTCTGAAGGGGACGAGACGAAGAACGCGAGACCAAACGATACATAAACGATGAGGTACTTCGTGCTATATGAGAAACAACTAGCGAGCCAACGATGAATTAAGCAGTTCGGCAATATGCCAGCGGGGTCCATGGGATATATAGCGGTACCAAGGAAACTTCTCAACAAGTCACACTTCAGCCTATCATCAGATCCCTTACGTACAGCACTATATATCCTGCATTAAACGATCCAATTCGCTATCCACCCCGATAAGCATGCAATCGCCATATCGGGCTATCAGCTCATTAGCAGGAGCCACCGGACTGCAGCTCAATCGTCATCGCCGAGAGCCGTGAGTATCCGTCCGTGCAGGCTCGGACTTTTATCCGTCGGAATCGGATGCCATTTGTCTGACATTCCATTCGCGAACTGCATATTGTTTTTGGATAATCTGGAACTTGGCGTGCTGACCGGCTATGCACTAATGATGGGTGCCTCGGAACAGTAGTTCTGGCCGGATCCTGATGGTGCAAGCGCAACAAATGCCCGATAACCAACCACTGAAGAGAGCCGCGCTGATAAGATAGTCGATAGTGGTATCTATATAGGCACCACACACTCTAGCGTCCTTTACTCCATAGATAAGGTAATGTTGTCCATACTACACTCGAAAGGAGTGAAGTCATTCGATCATATACACCACTTACCTCCATATTGCTTGTGATGGCCGAACCGGCATAAACCTCCGCGGTGAACATCAATCCGGGGAAGCTTGCCCCCGAACAAACCAATCGGATCGAGCTCTGAACCCCAAAACAAACCCGTCGGATATGGGATCTACTTGCTCTCCACAGTCGTTCCCAGGAAGGGTAATTGGAGCATAATGTTCCTTCATTCGTCTAGTCGGCACGGAATAGTATGATACTCTGGCCCGGTGAGGGTCTTTGGTGCCGAGTGCCGACAATTCGAGATGGATGGAGACCTCTGGACCGTGAAGTATTTGTAATGCGTAAATCAAGTTGGACAGATAGTGTCAACACAACCATGAAGCGTTGATATGAAAATACTAGTTGAATATTGGCTAATCAAACAATAGTTGCAAGACATAGAGGAGGATTAATGTCAAGTTATATGACATTATCCATGAAATTAGTTAGATTATTTCCACCATAACCACAGTGCAATGAAAGAAAAGAGAACCATATCACAAATTAGACACTCAAACATTTATTGCGCTATCATACTTTATATAATGCTAAATACAAACATATCCTTATCTCCCTAAACAATATTGCATACAATCTAATCCAAATCCTCCGTCTTACGAGGCGGAGGAGGGCTCTTCTTCACAAGGATAAAGTCACGTTCCAAGAGCCAGAACCCCTTCGACTCGCGTCCATCAATCATCTTAACCATAGGCTCCACATTATGCTGTTTAGCCAGCTCCAGATCCTCGCACCAGTTGTAATCCACAATCAGGCTCTTCTTGACGCCGAACACGGTGTCGCTCTCCACGAAGTTGCTGTCGCGGGAGTACAGGGCCGTGATGAGCTTGGTGTAGTCGGGATGAGCGACCATGAAGTGCTATTACATTATCCGTCAATTAATGTATATTATGGGTATAAAGGGCTGTTGGAAGATGGCTCACCATATGAGCAGGACGGAACCAATGCCGCTTCAGCTTCCGCAGGAGCTCTCCGACGGGTCCGTCATTGGAGATGGGGTATGCGACGGGCTTGACGCAGGAGAAGAGATAGTGGCCCCTCTCGTCGGAGAAGATCTTTCCGCGGCAGTTGGGGTCCTCTGATCCGTCGTACTCCAGGTCGTATACGCCGTTGCCGTCGGTTTCCCAGACGTCGATCAAGGCCTTGGGCACGGCGTTGCCTTCCGTGTCTTTGATCCAGCCCCGCACGATTGTGGGCTCGCCGGGGGTGCCCTCTGCAGTGATGGACTCTCCGTATTCGAATGAGTGGGCCTCTTCGTCGTGGAAGGGGCCGAGCACGGAGGACTCGGTTGCGCCAGGCACGGTGGGGTAGGAGAGGGCGTCGACGAGAGCGGAGATACCTAGGATGTCGGAGAGGAGGACGAATTCGTGGCGGACGTCGGTTGAGATTTGGCCGACCTATGGCAGATGTGTTAACTGTTTAATTAACTGTTGGTTTGTTGTTGATAAGGCGTGATACGTACTCTGGTCAGGAACTGCCACGCTTGCTCCCATTCGTCGAATTGAAGACCGACATCCCGGATGTAGTCATGGGCAGCCTGGATCAACTTCAGAATGAGGTACCGCATGCGAGGATTGTCGCACATGGAGTTGATCTTCATGACATTCTCGGTGATGTTTTCAATGGTTAAATCGAGCATGGAGGGCAGGTTGGCCGCGATTTCCTCTGGCGTCGATGCGGACGCCCATTTGGCGCGGGTGCGCTCACTGAGGCCAGTGACCTTGGGAGTCATTCCGTTCGATTGTTGCTCAGGCATTGTGAATTCTGATGATAAGAGATATGAGATAGGTTGGGGAGACTGTTGCTTGAGCGGTTCAACCAGACGTGGTAGTCCGTCTCTTATACTTCGCCCGCCCCCAATAGTTCTCGGTTATGGCCATTTTAGACACCGAATTGATCCCACAAATGCTTCCCCCGCACTTCATAACGCGGGGCAATTGTGATTATTGTGTATTGAACGTCATTTTGGCCGTCCGGGCCGATAATCGCAGCTGGGAGTAAGGTGTAGAGAGATCCGTCGGAGCGGATATATGGGTGTGGCGGGTCTTCCGTCGGACGAACATACAATGGCGGAGCTGAGTTCGTGGCAACCACGTCTTTAGGTTGCCGATTATTTGGTATGCCTGGAGTTCTGGAAATCTTAATCCGCACACCCCTTGCTCTGTGCTGTGTTCGGATAAGAAGGATGCGAAAGATAAGCAGAGTCTTATTTGTTAATAGCGAACATTGCCATTATACCGTCGCTCACAGCACGGTTTGACTTCTTTGGAGGGAACTATATTTCCTAGGGCCGAGCCGGTGAAAGTTTTGCGAAGCGCATAGGTTTATAGAGTAGAGCTACTATGCATGTGAGTTGGGACTGAAGACGCAGTGGTTGTGCAAATCAACGATGCGAAAACATTCAGTGTACACAGTCAACTTGCAA